ATTGCAGCATACCCATCCCCCCTGGGGGCGATTTCTTGCTTTCTGTCTCACTGGCAAGGGCACACTCCCTATAGCAAAAAAACTCTCTTAAAAAAAAGTACATCTTTTGGGCGTGGGAGCGCCCATCCTATGGCACAAAAAAAAAAAAAAAAAAAAAAAAAACTTCTGAGAATTCTGGAAAGATGGCAGTTTGGAAAGCACAGGAATCTTATCTCCCTACTTACACAGCAGTTGTGTTGGCAGAATCTGTCAGATGTTAACTATGTGGAAATCTGGAGTCTGTTGGGGACTTGGAGTGTCCAGGGGGTAGCTTGGATGCATGCTAGACTGCAGTTAATTTTGGTCAGTTTCAACTGTTAGCACAGTAGTAACTCCCTTCTTTCACCTCCCAGCCTAGGCAATTGTGCACATGTTCGTAGAGAAACTTGGACACAACCTGCAAGAACCAAGGTAGTCAAAAACAAACCTCTCATCCAAATGTTGGCGCTCTGGGCTCTGATTGCTGATCATTGCTTCTGATCACAGAGGTGCAAAGAGATGTGAGGCTGTTGTTATTGCACCTCCCCCCATTGTTGCCAGCCCCTTTTCCCCACAGTGGTTTCCAGGGGACTTAAATGGCTGGCAGACTTCTCTCTTACTTCCTGTCTCTCCTTTTTTTCTCTCTCTCTTTTTTTGGAGAGGTTTTCGCTATAGGGCGCATGCGCTCACCAGGAAGACAGAGAGAGACAGAAAGTGAGAAATCACCCCCCCCCCAGAGGGAATGGCCACACCGCAATCCCTTCTCCTCCATTCTCCTCTTGGGATCTTGGGCACTCACGCATACGCGCCCGGCATGAGTTTAAGCCACCAGGTCCAGGACTCGAACCACAGTCAACTATATGGGAGTCCAGCAACATAGCCATTATGCTAACTGCTGGTCCCCTGTCTCTCCTTTTTATACTTTTGGAGCCAGACATTAAAGACTAGGACACACAAAAACAACTGCATGCATAGCAAAGGCTAGAAAGTAACAGTGCATACCCAGGGAAGGGCTTAGCAAAGACCTTAGTTCCCACCTTAGGCTGATCCTTGGCACAGAGACAGCCTACGACAGCAACAGTAATAGTAAAAGGTGCGCACGCGCGCACATACACAATAAAAACAGCAAGCTTTGGAGAAGTGAGAGAGAGAATCTGATTTCTGAGTTACCACAGTAGATTCAGATGGCCAGTTTTCTTCACCTTTTTTTTTTTTAAGAATTATTTATTTAACTTTATTTATTTATTTTAATTTGACCAGGAGGGACAGAGTGAGAGAGAGAGAAAATGAGAAAGCAAGCCTCTAGGTCCAGGACTTGAACTACAGTTAGCCATGTGGGAGTCCAGTGCCCTTAACCACCATGCCACCTGCCAGCCCCCAGATGGCCAGTTTCAATAAAATGTCATTAAGACAATAAAGAAACAGGAAAGTATGACCTATTCGAAGAAAGAAAAGATCAACAGAAACTGTTCCCTAGAAAGACCTGATGGCAGATCTCCTAGACATATATTTTAAAATAACTATCTCAAAGAGGCCCAAAGAACTAAAGGAAGATGTGGAAAGAAACAGAATAATTTATGAACATAATAGAACTGGCATTGATGAAACAGAAAAACCTAAAAAGAAATTTTAGAGCTGAAAAGTATGATACCTAAAGTGAAAACTTTACTGGAAAGGTTCAGAGGGAGATTTCAGCAGGCAGAAGAAAGATTCAGCAAACATGAAGATAGGGAATGGATATTTTGAAGTCTGAGAAACAGAGAAAGGAAAAAAAAAACCTGAAGAGAAGTGAACAGAGCCTAAGCAACATGTGGCACGCCGTTGCACAGACCAGCAAACACCCTGTGGAAATCCCAGAAGAAAATGGAAAAGAAAGAGGACAGAGAGAATGAAGAAACGATAGCTGGGGCCAGAAGGTGGTGTGGTGGTTAGAGGTGCTGGACTCCTACATGGCCAGCCATGGTTCAGGTCCTGGACCTGGTGGCTTTCTCACTTTCCCTCTCTGGTCAAATTGGAAAATAATGATAATAATAATAAATAAAGTTAAAATAATTCTTTTTAAAAAATATAGCTGAAAACTTCCCAAATTTGATCAGAGACATGAATGTAAACATCCAGGAAGCTCAGCAATGTCCAAATATAGGCATACTTATTGAGTAAATTCAGTTCCTATGACTTGGTGGGTAAGCAAATTGTCGATAAACAAGTAACTTAAAGGCAGTTGTCTTGTGATGTGTCATGGTGCCATTAGGGTATGTAGTGCCCAAAAGACAGCAGAGGTGGCCATATTAAATGTGTCATGACTTCTCCGATGACCCAATATCAGACAAAATAGACTTTAAATGAAAAAAAGGTAGGACCAGCAATTGGCATAATGGCTATGTCACTGGACTCCCATGTAGTTGACCACGATTCAAGTCCCGGACCCGGTGGCTTAAACTCATGCCAGGCGTGTGTGCGTGCGTGTGTGTGTGCCCAAGATCCCGAGAGGAGAATGGAGGAGAAGGGATTGTGGTGTGGCCATCCCCCCAGGGGGTAATTTCTTGCTTTCTGTATCTTTCTGGTGAGTGCATGCATGTACCCTACAGCAAAAACCTCTCCAAAAAATAAATAAATAAATAAATATAAATAAATGAAAAAAGGTTACAGGACACAAAAAGGATTGTGTGTGTGTGTGTACGCACATGCATATATACATACATGCACACATTTACTTTTTTTTCTTTTAGGGAGATTTTTTGCTATAGGGCACGCATGCTCACTGGAGACAGAGAGAGGAAGTGAGAAACCACCCTCTCAGGGGGATGGCCACACCACAGCCCTTTCTCCACCACTCTCGTCTTGGAATTTTGGACACGCACACATGTGCCTAGCTTGAGTTATAAGTTGCTGGGTCCAGGACTTGAACCAAGGTTGACCTGTACACCTCAACTACCACGCCAACTGCTGGCTCCAAAAGGACATATATTAGCATAAGCTTCAGTACAGCATGAAAACCTAACGCTTGTAATCATTTGTGCTCTGACAGATAATGATGTTTGACCTAAAGGAATACTTTATGGTTCCATCTATATGAGGTAGTGGGGACAGTCAAAATCATAGGAATGGAAAGTGGTTTCTCAGGGCTCTGGGAAGGGGGAATGGGAAGTTACTGTTGAATGGGTACAGAGTTTCACTTTCACAAAATGAAACAAGTTATAGGGATGGGTGGTGGTGATGGCAACATTATGAATGTATTTAATACCTCCAAACTATACCCTTGAAAATTGTCAAGATAGGCCATTTTGTCGTGTGTATTTTACCACAATTTTTTTTTTTGAGAGGTTTTCGCTATAGGGCATGTGCGCTCGCCAGACAGACAGAGAGAGACATAGAGACAGAAAACGAGAAATCGTCCCCAAGGGGGGATGGTCCCGCCGCAATCCCTTCTCCTCCATTCTCCTCTCAGGATCTTGGGCACGCACACACACACACACACCTGGCGTGAGTTCTAAGCCACTGGGTCCGGGATGCGAACCATGGTCGACTACATGGGAATCCAGTGACATAGCCATTACGCTAACTGCTGGTTCCCTATTTTACCACAATTTTAAAAACTGAAAAAAATATATGTTGCACTCAACAAGTATTTTGAGAACTGAGTACATCTCTTGTCATTGGAAAAGACATGACACATTTTTGCATAGCAAAATACGTCATGACTTTTCCAACAAGCCAGTATTTATGAGTGAAATTGAGTGGAACTTATGAAATGATACAGAGTTGAAGTTAAAGTAACGATTCCCGAAGAGCTAAAGCCATGGCTTGTTGATGACTGGGACTTAATTACCAGACAAAAACAGCTCTTTTATCTTCCTGCTAAGAATATGGATTCCATTCTGGGGGATTGTGCACATGATAAGAAATCTTGAGGAAATACCGATAATAAGGAGTATGCTGTTAATGCAGTCGTGGCCGGTATAAGCGAATACTTCAACGTCATGTTGGGCACTCAGCTGCTCTACAAGTTTGAGACCACAGTCTGCCGAGATCCTTGCAGATCACCTTGATGCGCCATGTCCCAGGTGTATGGAGCGCCTCATCTCCTGAGATTTGTACAGACTGGGGCGTTGCTAGCCTATACACCTCTTGATGAGAAGAGCCTTGCTTTATTACTGAATTATCTTCACGATTTCCTAAAGTACCTGGCAAAGAATTCTGTGACTTTGTTTAATGCCAGCGATTATGAAGTGGCTCTCCCTGAATGCCACTGGAAAACTGAGAGGCGCCCTCACTCACCTATGCTTGGATCTCTGTAAATGCAGTTTTGTTCTTAGTCCTCTTGTAGAAACAGTGTGCTTTGAAAATGTTGGTGTACAAGAGAATTAATGTTTGTTTTCTGTTTGATTTTAAACAGAGAAATTAAAAGGGGTTCGGCTTCTTTTTCCTTTTCTTTCTTTTCATTTCAAAGTTGCTGCCAGTGTATTCAATGGTGACAACAGAGACATGCTGTAGAGTGTTCAATTGCCTAGTTGACAAAGCTGCTTTGAATGCTGGTGGTTCTGTTCCTTTGACACTACGCACTTTTACAATACGTGTTAATGCTATGTGACAAAACACTCAGACTCCTAGGCCACAGGTTCTATTCAGTGTATATAACTGAACACACTCATCCATTTGTGCTCCTTTTATATTTTTTCAAATGGTACTAAAGAGCCCATCCTTTGCAAGTCATCCACGTTGTTCCTTAGGCATTATCTTGGCTCAGATTGTTGAAGATTGGTGGCTTGTTTCCTGGTTTTATAGTTGTGTCTACTGCACGTTTTAACATGGTAGACGCAATGCATTGTGTAGCTACAGTTTTCTGAAGTCACTCTTTTAGGAATTGGTTTTCAGAGCTCCAATACATTTTTTTCTTTAAATTTTAATCAAAAATATATATATGTGTGTGTGTGTGTATGTGTACAGTGTATGTTTAATCTTCTTTCTTGTTGCCTTTATAGGGGGAAAAAATCTAAAATCTCCTCAAAATGTAGAGGTTTACATCATGGATGACAACTTTATCCTGAAGTGGAACTGGAGCAATGACTCTGTCAGAAATGTGACTTTTTCAGTGGATTATCAAATGTATGTGACTCTGCTTGTTGATTTACCACAATGATCTATTATAATTTTTTAATGTTATCACCGTAATTTATTTTCATATTTGGGAAACATTTGGTTTGTTCTGTTGGGTTTTTTGTTTTTTGGGATTTTTTTTTTTTAAAGAAATTGTCTACTTCACATAGTATTTGTAGCTTCATTTCTACAAAGAGAGACTTAGATTCATCTTTGAAACAAAAGAAACTTGGGGAATGAGGAATGAGGGTGGTGGACAGCTTCACCAGATATATATTGGAATTTCAAGTAGGGCATATCTTGAGGATAAGGGGGAGCCCCCAATAAAGGCCTATCCAAGGTCTTGGGACAGACCACCAGCCTTCCTATGGCGAGGTTTTCCTCTTATCTCCATCATACACTCTATTTTAATTTTAGATACAATTTATAAACCTGTAAATAAATGCATTGGATCTACATTTCAGTAGACTTGGTGTTTCTGGAGTTTCAGTGCCTCCTCCTTTGTACTAACTTTCTATTTACAGTTGCCAAGAGGATAGGTGTGCAGGGAGCTGCAGAAGAAAGGGCTGCAAAGGGGGCCCAGCTCAACAAACACGGTGCTTTGCCTCCTAGTTAGGGTTGGGCCCCGTCTGCTAACAGTGCCCTGCTGTCCAGGAAGGAGTAGGCAGTGCAGAAGCAAGGTGTGAGGCCCTACATCCTGCTACATCAGACATGGCCGTGACACTGTTGTTGCCCAGTTGTTGCTAAAGCTGGGACATCAGTCTTTCAGTTTCAGTAATTATGACGACATGTGTGTATATATGTGCAGGGACTTCAAAAATTCATGGAAAAATGGAATTAAAATTCATGTTTATTTTGGCACAAAAATATCTTTGAAATCCACGCATAGTTTTTAAAAATGTTTTATTTAACTTTATTTGTTATTATTATTTATTGCTGTTTTTAAATTTGACCAGAGAGAGAGAGAGTGCGAGAAAAGGGGAAAGTGAGAAATCAAGCCACCAGGTCTTTGACTCGAACCACAGTCGGCCATGTGGGCGTCCAGCATCTTAACCACCATGCCACCTGCCAGTCCCCACACATAGTTTTTTCATAATACACATTTTCCATGAGGTTTTTGATGACCTCTTGTGTCTATAAATACATTTAATGGCTTTTCTCCGAATTGACTATCCAAGAGTTTTTCTCTCGAGATTTTTTTTTTCCATTGAACTTTGGGTTTTTACCACTTCTTTGCCTTAGTTCAGATTTGTCTTATTAAACAACTGTTGTAGGTACTTCAGGGATTCATTTAGATAACCTTATTTAAATTTACTCCTGTAGGGCCAAAGGTGTGGTGGTTAAGGTAGGTGGATCCTTCATGGCCAACTGTGTGGTTAGAGGCGCAGGCTGGTGGCTTTTGAAAGACAGGCTGGGTACATGTGCTTGCATGCCCAGAACCCCAAGTGAAGACTGCTGCAAAGCCGTCCCCTATGGAAGGGTGCTTTCTCACTTTCCTCCTCTCTCTGTCTTTTTGGCAAGCACATGCACCCTGTAGCATTTTTTTTAAGTTACCCTCATATCAAAGAACAAAGAACATCAGTGCTCTCACATTATTGCTCCTTCACACGTCATTTTGCCTATACGAAACTCGATGGTCCGTGATAATCTGCCTTGTACCTTTCCATTTTGACTTAAGCATCAAATGCATTATTTCAGTGTGTCCTTACCCTGTTCTGCTAGCTTTATACACAGTTACCTTACGAAGATGTGCCAGGCTGTAGGTTTGGGAGACAGGACAGCGTTAGTATAGTGTATATGAACTTGAGCCAGGCCGCGTTTAAGGCCCTCCTCTGCTCCTCTGTGTTTGTTTCCTTATCTGTTATGTGGAGATTTTTAACAGATATAACCATATAAAATTTATCATTCAAACCAGTACACTGTTGAGAGTGAAAAGAGACACTTAATTTTAAGTAAACTGGAACAACAAGCTTCAACTCGGACTGCTTAGGCAAGCTGGAATGAGGGACCCTGGTAATGAAGTCTCTGAGAGTGTCGTTCTGAGCATTAGAAATGATACATAAAGCACTCAAGAGAGTGACACAGAGTAAATGGTCAATAGAAACATAATATCAGCAGCAAACAGGTTTTTTTAAAATGCAGTGTTTCTCAGAAGGCAGGACATATACCGTTGGTAATAAATGATACACGGCTGAATAAATAGCTGTTATGATACCAGTGCCTGTAGGACATACACTACCCAAAGTGTAATTTGTATTTGAAGTTTATTATGTATGTAATGTGTAGCATTTATTCTTTTATTTAACAAATATTGAATGTTTTTTATGCCAGACACTCTTCCAACTACTTAAAATACTTCACTGAACACAAGAGAGAAAGATAGCATGAAATTATCTTATGAAGCGGGTTTTATGACATATATATTATGCTAGTTAATATTTTCATTTTAAATTATACTCTGTTCTGCTCTAGTAATTATATATGATAAACTTCTTTGTTTTTTAAAGAAAATATGAAAGTAGTTACTGTTGCAATAGCTTCCTTCTGTGTAGAAGCAGATTTGTTTATGTGTACTCAGCTCCTCCATGAAGAAGAGAGAGAGACAGAGAGACAGGCGCCTCCATTCTGGGTTCCACCCTCAGTCTCAAGCCTAACTCATGGGCATGTGTAGGTGCACCCAGTGGATTCAGGGAGATCCCAGAATATGAACCCAAGACCTTTTCCATATGGGTCCAGGTGCATTACCACTGTACCATCACCTGGTCCCATGCAAAAGCTGTTTCAAGGGAGCATGCAACTGAATTTCATGGAACAAGAACGACACATGGCTATAAAGAATGAGGGTATGTTGAAGCCATATTAAGGATTAATTTTAAATTTCTGATAAGGTTTTCTGTTTATAATAGAAGTTACTGGGTTTTCAAAAAATAGATTCCGATGTTGAAGAGTTTCTCAGGAATGTTTATTTAAATTAATGTATTTTTAATGCCAGTTCTAATCTCAGATCTCAAATAGCTCAAGTGGCAGGGGACACAGTTCAGGAATGGGGTGTCCCATGTACTAGTATGTGTTTCTGATCATTGTAAAAAGTGCTCTTTTTTTTTTAAGGGTTTTTGCCATAGGACACTTGTGCTCACCAGAGACAGCGAGTGGTAAAGTAAGAAATCATCTGCCAGGGAATGTTTTCAGTCCTTACCTGTTCTCCTGCAATGTTGGGCATGCACTCACTATGTGCCGGGGTAATTTTCAAACCTCCAGGTCTGGGACATGAACTGCAGTCAGCGTGTGGGAGTCCAGCACTTTAACCACCATGCTACCTGCTGGCCGATAAGTGTTTCCTTTTTAAAAAATAAAGTAGACGTTTATTTGGGTCAGCACAAAAATTACTTTGGTATCATCTGTGGTTCCTCACATCTTAAAGCATTGTTAAAATGCTATCTACAGTGTTTATTAAAAATTAATTTATGATAGAACTGTGAACTAGACTTGGCAAAAATGCATTGTGAGGGTAGTTCCTTTGCCTTGTTTAAGGTTGATGGGCTTAACATAGAAATTTGAATTCTGAGACGTTTGTGTTCTGTCCCTGTGGTCAGTGCAGCCCCTCCTTCCCACTTATAGCGACACGTCCTTTCTGCTCCGGGCCCACTGTGCTCTTTGGAGAATTTATTTGCTTGGGTTGACATTTAAATTTTTTTTCCTGTGACATGACAAAAGGGAATGTGGACACTAGCAAGCAGAACAGTGACTTGGTTTTGGAGAGGTCAGAGGAAATCCTGAAATCATGCTGCTTCTGAGGTCTGTTTTAGGGCAGACATGAACTGCAGTCAGCGTGTGGGAGTCCAGCACTTTAACCACCATGCTACCTGCTGGCCGATAAGTGTTTCCTTTTTAAAAAATAAAGTAGACGTTTATTTGGGTCAGCACAAAAATTACTTTGGTATCATCTGTGGTTCCTCACATCTTAAAGCATTGTTAAAATGCTATCTACAGTGTTTATTAAAAATTAATTTATGATAGAACTGTGAACTAGACTTGGCAAAAATGCATTGTGAGGGTAGTTCCTTTGCCTTGTTTAAGGTTGATGGGCTTAACATAGAAATTTGAATTCTGAGACGTTTGTGTTCTGTCCCTGTGGTCAGTGCAGCCCCTCCTTCCCACTTATAGCGACACGTCCTTTCTGCTCCGGGCCCACTGTGCTCTTTGGAGAATTTATTTGCTTGGGTTGACATTTAAATTTTTTTTCCTGTGACATGACAAAAGGGAATGTGGACACTAGCAAGCAGAACAGTGACTTGGTTTTGGAGAGGTCAGAGGAAATCCTGAAATCATGCTGCTTCTGAGGTCTGTTTTAGGGCAATTTAATCTAGTCACAAAAAAAGGTCAGAAATAAATCACTGGGACCAGCAGTTAGCGTAATGGCTATGTCGCTGGACTCCCCCGTGGTCAACCATGGTTTGTGTCCTGGACCCGGTGGCTTAAAACTCACGCCGAGCGCGTGTGCATGCGTGCCCAAGATCCCAAGAGGAGAATGGAGGAAAAAGGATTGCAGCGTGGCCATCCCCCCTGGGGGGTGATTTCTCACTTTCTGTCTTTCTGTCTGTCTCTGTCTTCCTGGCGAGCGCACGCGCCCTATAGCAAAAAAAAAAAAAAAAAAAAAGCTCTCCCCCCCCAAAAGAAAGAAAGAAATCACCAACTCCAGTTCCCAAATTTTCTGTAAGACAAGTTCCAGAAACCATAGTTTGCCAGAAGTCACACAAGTGTTTTTAACAAAGCCAACGCTGACTTTTGCCTTATGGGCAATGTATTTCTCTGCTTTCTTGAAATTCTAATGCAACCATCCCCAAAACTATATATAGAACTGTATTGAAATATATATGTCCAAATTATTTCATTTTATAACTAATAACTTGGTTTATATGCATTGAAAAAGAGTAAAAATGAGCCAACAGGTGGCGTGGTAGTTAAGGCACTGGACTCCCTCATGGCTAAGTGTGGTTCAAGTCTTGGGCCCAGCAGCTTGAAAATCATACCAGGTGCATGTGCCTGTGTGCCCAAAATCCCTAGAGTAAAAGGGATTATGGCGTGGCCATCCCCCTGGGGGATGATTTCTCACTTTCTTTCTCACTGTTTCTCATTTGGGAAATGCACATGCCTTAAGGCAAAAAATAATAATAATAAAGTAAAAAGGTATACACTAAAATGGTATCAGGACATTAGTTCAAATAGAAGCAATAACTAAACTAGCGTTAATGATATTAGTAAATGGAAAACATGTTTAACGGTTTTTCATACTTACACCTTTGCTCATTCATCATTTGGTCTTCTACTTTAAAGACAGAAGATGGATAAATGGAACAAATTGCCCGGATGTCAGTATATTACTAGTACCAAATGCAACTTTTCTTCACTCAAACTAAATGTTTATGAGGAAATTAAATTGCGAGTTAGAGCAGAAAAAGGAAATGACACTTCTTCATGGCATGAGGTTGACTCATTTATACCTTTTCAAAAAGGTAAGAAGTTACTAGCTGACTTACATGCTTTACTGTTTAAACCCATTTGCCTAATGGGGAGCACAAAGATTTCCTTAAACTTATATCTCCTTCCTGCTATGGCCTCATTTTCCTGCTTTCCCTGTAGTCATGGTTTTCAAAGGGTTGTCCTCAACCCTTTTTCATGAGTTCTGTAAAGATAAAACTGTTTTCTATTAATTTATGTACTTTAATTTTTTAGTCTCTGTTGTAGACAGAGTAGAGTTTTCCAAAGGAAGTTGTTTGATGTGTGATGTGGTGACTGAGTGACTAAAGTAGGTGTGAGCTTCATCTGTCTTTATTAATTCAGACATTAAAGAGATGGGGGTAACATAGCACCCCTCTTCTCACCATGTTTTTGTTGTTTTAGAGACTATCGTTTAACTAATTTCCAAGGGCACGTACGTACCCACAGTGCAGCATGGTCACACCGTAACCCTTTTTCTCCTTCTCCCCACCCCATCAGGATTTTGGACATGCACATATGCCCCATGTGTTTTTCACGTCACAGGGGCCAGGGCATGAACCGTGCTTGGGTGTGTAGGTTCTGCTCTGTATGCACAGTGCTTAACTATCATGCTTTGGGGCTGGCTTGGAAAATATACTTCCTCAGTCTACTGCTGGCTCAGTCCCTCTATAGCATCCATGTTATCACCACTCTTTTTGAAATGCTTCCCTGGGGCCAGCAGATGGTGTAGTGGTTGAGGCACTGGACAGCCACATAGCCAACTGCAGTTCGAGCCCCAGACCTAGTGGCTTGAGAATCATGCCAGGCGTGCATGTATGCATGTGTGCCTAGAATCCCAGGAGGAGAGTGGAAGAGAAGGGGTTTCTATGTGGCCACTCCCCCCCATGGGGGGGTGATTTCTTGCTTTCCCTCTCATTGTCTCTCTCTTTCCTCCCTGGTGAATACTTGCTGTGGCAAAAACCTTTAAAATAAATTTTAAAAAAGAAATGCTTTATTTATCAGATCTCTAGGGTGCTGCTTTTTCATGATTCTTCTGCTTACCTAAGGTTGTTCCAAGCGTTTTCCCTCATCTCCCAGGCGTTTCAATGTTGAACTGCGACAGGGCTGTCACTGCCCCTCTCTCGTTCTCACTCCACCAGTAGTCTTACACCTATCCACACCATCTGTATGCTCTTGACCTGCGAAACTGTACCTCCACCCCAGGCTTTCCCTGCCCTTTGCACTTTCAGACCTGTATGCCCATCTTTTTTTCTTTTGTTTTTTTTGGGGAGAGGTTTTCACTATAGGGCGCGTGCGCTCGCCAGACAGACAGAGAGAGTCATAGAGACAGAAAGCGAGAAATCACCCCCCAGGGGGGATGGTCACGCCGCAATCCCTTCTCCTCCATTCTCCTCTCGGGATCTTGGGCACGCACGCACACGCGCCCGGCGTGAGTTTTAAGCCACCGGGTCCGGGACACGAACCACGGTCGACTACGTGGGAGTCCAGCGACATAGCCATTACGCTAACTGCTGGTTCCCCCAGACCTGTATGCCCATCTTTACCCAGCATGTCTACTTAGATGTTAAAAGTCATCCCAAATTTGGGACCAGCACATGGCGTAAAGGTTACCTCACTGGACTCCCACATAGTTGACTGCAGTTCAAGGACCAGACCAGTGGCTTAAGACTCAGTAGGCACATGTGCATGCCCAGAACCTCCATAGGAGAATGGAGAAGAGATTGCCGTGTGGCCATTCCCTCTGGAAGGGTGATTTCGCACTTCTGTCTCTGTCTCTCCAGCGAGCACAAGTACTCTATAGCAAAAATCTCTTTAAAAAAGTCATCCCAAATTTAAAATTGTCAAATAAAGCTCCCAGTTTCCCCAGCTCAAAACCTACAGGTCTATTTCCCCCAGCTCAGATAATGACATCACCTGCTGATGTGCTCAGACCAAGAACCTGCAGTCATCTTTCCTACCACTTTTTCTCACACCTAACATCCAGTTTATTAGCAAATTCTGTCTAATCTGTCTCTGAAGTATATCTTATTCTTTCTCACTTCCACCCCTGCTGCCAACCTGTGACCAGGCCACTTGCATTTTTCACTTGATTACCATTTATCACATGCGGTAAACAGGGTGATCATTTCACAGTGTCACTAGATCGTGGCACCGTCCATCTCAACTCTCCAGTGACTTCAAGACTCCATTATGGCTGCTGAGCTCTCCCTTTGTTATCTGGCCTCTAGCTGCCTCTTTGATCTCAGTTTCAACCCCCTTCAGCCATTTTCGTCCCTTACATCCCTTGAAAATATTAACTACATTCCCATCTTGGAGACTTTGCACTTAGCCTGGAATACATTTTCCTAGATACTTGATTGACTACTCCCTCACTTCATTCAGGTCTTAGCTCAAGCATCTCTTTCTCAGGGAAACTTTTCCTGACTTAGAGCACTTGTTACTAGTCCTTCTCTTTCATATTACTTCATTTCTTAGTAGCACACATGATATTATACATATTTATTTATTTGAGGGATTTTTGCCATATTCCCTTAAAGTGTAAGCTCCATGAGGGGCTCTCTCTGCTGTTCTATGCCTGGCACATATTAATTATTTATTGAATGAATGTTTGGGCATTGCATTAACAAAATTACATCATTGTTTCTATTTTTACAGCTCAAATTGGTCCTCCAGAAGTACATTTAGAAGCTGAAGATAAGGCAATAATAGTAAACATCTCTCCTCCTGGAACAAAAGATAGTGTCATGTGGGCTCAGGATAGTTTAAGTTTTACATACAGTATAGATTTCTGGAACTCTTCAAATGTAGAAGTAAGCATTGTTTTTACCTTTATTTGATGTGACAAAAAAATGTAGTGAGTTCTAGAATTTGGCTTTATACTTTTTTAGAAAATAGAATTCTATTTTTTTATTCTAGAGAAGAACTGAAACTACTGTTTATCCCAGATATAAAATTTCTGAACTGTCACCTGAGACTACTTACTGTTTAAAAGTAAGAGCAAGACTACGTTTGCAACGGAAAGTTGGTGTCTATAGCCCCGTGTATTGTGTCAACACCACAGGTAAGAAAGACGTCTTACTTCAGATTCAATAACTGCATGAACAGACTGGCAGTATATTCATCTCGGTGTTTTTCCCATAGGTGCTGAAGTTTATGTGCTGGCTTAATATATATTAAAATAAGAGCATTATAATAGCATTTACATCAATTAAAAAATGCCTCAATCCAACAATAAAGAAGGGTTTAAAGTAGAATTTTCCACTTTTGCCCCCTCACTTCCAAGTCCATTTACCAGAACTAAGCATGGCTAGCAGTTTGTGTACAGCCCGTTAAAAATTTTCCGGGGCTTTAGTAAACAGATACACAGTTTTATGGGTTTTGTTTTTTAAATTGAAAAAATAGGATTTTGCTGTGTTTTACAGCCTGCTTGTTTAGCCCAGTGTGCTGAGAGCATCTTTCTATCTCAGCATGTAGAGATCTGTAATATTCTAAACAGCTGCACAGTGTTACATAGTGTGACTGTTCATCATGCCTTCCTCAACTGTTCCCGTGATCAGCGTAGGCCTTGCCTCTCTTGCCCATGCTGTTAAGAGTTCTCACCATTTATTGTCTCACTAGAGTAAAAATACATGCTTTTTTATGTATCTTTGGCTTCCAGTTGAAAATAAACTGCCTCCACCAGAAAATATAGAAATTGAAGCTAGAAGCCAGAGCTATGTTCTTAAATGGAATTACACGTCTGTCAACGTGACCTTCCAGGCGCAGTGGCTCCAGTAAGTTCTGTTCCGTACATCTCTTTTTGCCCAGTTTATTTTAATTATGCTTCTCAGTCTTCTTCACCCCATCTGCAACTCCTCCCCAACTGATGGCTGACTGGAGTGGTGGGTGTGATACATTGGAAACTTGGGAAACTTAATTCTAGTCTCACCTCCGCCAGTAACTAGCTAGATGACATTATGCTAACCAGTTAACCTCTTTGACTTTCATTTCTTTATTTGTTGTAAAAGTGGAGTTTTTACTGGCCCTTTTTTTAAAAAGGTATGACTTTAGTCAATTGTATTATTGTCCCCAATCTGGAATACTTGATACTTGACCCTGATCTTTTCTTCAGAACTCACAACTTCCATGAGTCCTTGACAGGATCTTAGTCTCTACTGTGACTTGCTCAATTCGGAAAAGTTATGTTAAAAATCACAAGATTTTTCATTATTTCTTTAGAGGGAAGTTAAAGAAAGTTGGAAGGAATTGTGTTCTGTCCAGTTGAGTAAAGACTAGCCAAATATGGGTCTGGAGACACTGTTTGGAAGGAAATGAGATATGAGACAAGGCCTTGATTGTTGATTGAGAGTTTTTGAACTGGACAAGAGAGGCTCTTAGGCAGAGACAACAGCATGAGGGAAAGCGCGGGGATATTCAGAGATGTAAAATTAGGTGGGGTGGGTTGTGGGAGTATTAGTTTTCCATTGTTCTGCACCAGTTACCACAAACTTAGCTGCTGAAAAACATCTGCTGTTTTTGAGTTTCTGGGAGTCAGGAGTCCACACATGGCTTAGTCAGTTCTTTTGTTCTCTGTCTTTCAAGGTGGCAACAAGATATTAGCTAGAGCTACAGTCTCATACGAGACTTGGGTCCCCTCACAAGCTTACTTCGTTATGGCGGAATTCATTTTTTGCAGCTGTGGAACTCATGGTGGCCTGGCTCTGGGAAACCATAGGAAGAGAGAGTCTGGAGGCCAGCTGATGGCTTAAGTGGTTAAGGCACTGGACTTCATGTTGCTGACCGCAGTTTGAGTCCCAGACCCAGCGACTTGAAACTCAAGCTGGGCACGTGTACATGCGTGCCCAAAATCCCAAGAGCAGAATGGCAAAGAAGGGATTATTATAGCATGGCCATCCCCCCGGGGTGGGTGATTTCTCGCTTCCTGTTTCTCTGTCTTGCTCTGTCTCTCTAGCAAGTGCATGTGCCATATAGGAAAACTCTCCTCCACAAAAATAAATAAATAAATAAATAAATGGGAAAATCTGACCTATAGGACCTGTTTTTTTTTTTTTTTTTTGGGGGGGGGTTTGCTATAGGGCACGTGTACTCGCCAGAAAGAGAGAGAGAGAGATAGAAAGCGAGAAATCACCCCCCAGGGGGATAGCCATGCTGCAATCCCTTCTCCTCCATTCTCCTCTTGGGATCTTAGGCACGCACGCACACGCACCCAGCGTGAGTTTAAGCCACCGGGTCCAGGACGCAAACCGCGGTTGGCTACATGGGAGTCTAGCGACATAGCCATTATGCTAACAGCTGGTCCCCCTATAGGCCCTCTTTTACAGAACTTATCTAATTAGGTCTGACCCACCTTGTATAGCCTTTCATTTGATTAACTTAGAATCAGCTGATTTAGGATCCTTTTTTTTTTTTTTTTTCATTCGTGATAGAGTGTATATAAGAGAGAGAAAGAGAAATTCTCTTCACGGAATGTGGTCACAAACCAATCCCTTTCTTCAAGCCTTCCACCATATTGGATCACGGGGATTCACATACATGCCCAAAATGTTTCAGACTGACCAGCCTGGGGACTCAAACTGCAGTCACCATGTGGGATCTGCCCTCTCTTTGGACAGCATAGTGCCAGTATGCCACAGCTGGCCTGATTTAGGATCTGAATTACATCTGTAAAAATCCCTTTCCTAATGCAACCTCATCCTGGGAGAAGTGGTATCTGTCATATTTACAGGTCCTCTGCTCACACTCAGTGGAAGGGAATTAAACATGAACTGTACAGTAGGTGGTAGGAATCTTTAGGACTCTTAGAATGTTGCCTGCCACAGTGGGGAAGGTCTGCTTTCTTGAGTAGCAGAACATTTGGTATGTGGGAGCAATGAGAGAAAAGGTTGAGTAAGTAGGGAGGGACAGGATTAGGTTTGGCCTTGGGCTATCCTATAGGCGATTGAGAAGCTTTGGGAATTTTGTGGTGAGATAGATAACATGAGGTCCCTATTTGAGGAAGACTTTATGCTGCATTGTATCTAATATGTAGGGAGGTGGACTAAGGAGACATAAAGATGAGGAAACCAGCCAGGGTCTATTGTAGTTCTCACTTTGAACTGAGACGCTTTTAGCTTTTAGTTTCTCAACTTCTCTAGTCTCAGGTGCCCATACTTTGTTTAGACTCTCTCTCGTAATGCTGTGGTGTGTATCTCCATTATAGCATTTATCTGTTCATGTACTGGTACACGTTTAACAACCAGTTTTCCAGAAGTGAAAACCCTATTTGTAGTGTTTGCTGATTTTTGTGAAATTAATATCTGTCAGTGGCCACTTTCCAGACTGACCAGCCTGGGGACTCAAACTGCAGTCACCATGTGGGATCTGCCCTCTCTTTGGACAGCATAGTGCCAGTATGCCACAGCTGGCCTGATTTAGGATCTGAATTACATCTGTAAAAATCCCTTTCCTAATGCAACCTCATCCTGGGAGAAGTGGTATCTGTCATATTTACAGGTCCTCTGCTCACACTCAGTGGAAGGGAATTAAACATGAACTGTACAGTAGGTGGTAGGAATCTTTAGGACTCTTAGAATGTTGCCTGCCACAGTGGGGAAGGTCTGCTTTCTTGAGTAGCAGAACATTTGGTATGTGGGAGCAATGAGAGAAAAGGTTGAGTAAGTAGGGAGGGACAGGATTAGGTTTGGCCTTGGGCTATCCTATAGGCGATTGAGAAGCTTTGGGAATTTTGTGGTGAGATAGATAACATGAGGTCCCTATTTGAGGAAGACTTTATGCTGCATTGTATCTAATATGTAGGGAGGTGGACTAAGGAGACATAAAGATGAGGAAACCAGCCAGGGTCTATTGTAGTTCTCACTTTGAACTGAGACGCTTTTAGCTTTTAGTTTCTCAACTTCTCTAGTCTCAGGTGCCCATACTTTGTTCAGACTTTCTCTCGTAATGCTGTGGTGTGTATCTCCATTATAGCATTTATCTGTTCATGTACTGGTACACGTTTAACAACCAGTTTTCCAGAAGTGAAAACCCTATTTGTAGTGTTTGCTGATTTTTGTGAAATTAATATGTCAGTGGCCACTTTCAAGCTGCCATGGAGCCCTGAACATGGAGTGAGAGGCTGTGCCCAGTAGCACACCATTGCCTAGCATTTCTGCCATGCAGACACAGACTGAAATGGCCATGAAGCATAGACAACAAAGTGGAATAAAGTAATTCAGATGGGTTTTGAGCATTCAGTACCTTTGTGTTTTGTGCCATTTTTTACTTGTAAGTAATTTTTAATAATGGTCATGTTTAATAAGCAGCTTACAACGTTCCTGAAAATGTAATGGGTTTTGTACGCCAGGGGGAGCCAGCGCTCACACACCACTACTTTATCACACCCCGGGCCACCTTTTGTATCACACTCATGCGTCTTTACTATATATGCGCTTCCTGAGTGTGGGCACTATTCATTCTATAACCTTAGTCTTAAACAGTGTCTGGCATATTGTGCATACTCGATAAATATTTATGGTGTTTAATGTACTTTGATTTAATTTTTTTTTTTTTTTTTGTCTTAAAAGTGCCTACATAAGAAAGTTTCCTAGGAACCTTTCAGATCAGTGGAAACAAATACCTGGTTGTGAAAATGTCAAAACTACCCAGTGTGTCTTTCCTCAGAATACTTTCCCAAGAGGAATTTACTTTCTTCGGGTACAGGCATCTAATGGAAATAATGTATCTCTTTGGTCAGAAGAGAAAAAATTTGATACCAAACTACAAAGTAAGCCAGTAGTTTTTACTTTAGATTGTAATTCTTCAATTTAGTGATTATTCTTCAAGTCGTGTGTTCTGAGTCAAACATGATGTCGTTACAAATGTGTTCCAGCTGTCATACATCCGCCTGTGATTAATGTGAAATCCATTAGTAATTCTCTGCACATCTATATTGGGGCTCCCAAAGAATCTGAAGACAAGGCTGTGAATTATCCACTAATTTACGAAGTTATATTTTGGGAAAATACTTCAAATGCTAAGGTAAAGGACTATGTAATATAGTTGTATAACTTAGAATTATAGCTCTAATTTGAATAAACAAAGCTTGAATTTAAAATTTGGGGAAATTTTAAACTTTTATTAAGACTGTGTGATTAACTCATTCATTTGCCATATGCCGAATATTAGCATTTTTCTGTGTTTGACATGGCAGTTATGGATCCCCCTTCTGGGCTTCGGTCTGCACTGTGTATGCATTGGGGCGGGGGTGTTTTAGACAGGGGCTTGCTATGTCACGATTCTCCCGCCTCAGCCCCCAAGTAGCTAGGACAATAGGCACGTGCCACTGTGCTCAGCTTTTTAGGGTGGGCCAGGAATAGAACCCAGGACTCCCATGTGGCAGCCTTTTGTGTAGTGGTGTCCAGCATGTCCTGCTGCTGCTGTGCCTCAGTTTACTTCTATAATACAGAGTCCCAGCCCATTCCTACGGAATTAGCCTCTGGGGGTAGAAGTCAGGAATTTGCATTTTTGGCATGATTCTCAAGCATTCATCTAAACCAGAGTTTTTCAACACTGTTGACTTTTGGGCTGGATAATGCCTTTTGGTGGGGCCTTCCCTGGGTGTTGTATGCTGCTTAGCAGCTTCTGTTCTCTGCCGACTAGATACCCGGAGCACTCCCTCCCACTTGTGACTGTCAGAATGTCTTCAGAACTTGTCGAGTGACCCCTTCCTGAGGGTGGGGACTGCTTTTCTATAACCTTAGCCCTAACACTGTCTAGTATATTATACACACTCAACAAATATTTCTTGTATTAATGTATTTTAATTAAAAAAATTACAAGGGTATTAAAATTTAGTTCTTATGGGGCAAAAGACTCTTAGATATTACAGTGGTTTGTGGCTCTTCAGGAAGAAAATGTGTCTTCAAGTTTAACTTTGTGCATCCCCCTGCTTCCCGAGATTGTATTCTTAGTATTTTATTTCTTGGTGGGGAAGAATTAGAATAAAAGCTCTTTCAATGGATAGTAATGAAAAAAAGGATTGAGAAACACTGGTTTAGACAGTAAACTTTGAAACCTGCTGACAAAGATAACATACACCACCAGATATTCCACGAGTCGTAGATTGCTCTTCCTTGTGAAATTGCAGTCAAGAAATCAGTCTTTTAAAAAATCTTATGTAGGGGGCCAGTGGGCAGCATGGTAGTTGAGGCTCTGAATTCCCATATGTCCAACCACGGTTCAAGTCCTGAACCAGGAAGTTTGAAAAATCATGACAAATAAATGTTTAAAAAAAAAATCTCATGTAAAGATGGTTAAGGCACTGGACTCCCATATGGCCAACCATGCTTCCGTCTCAGACCCAGAGGCTTGAAACTCATACCAGGCACATGTGCACGTGTGCCCAAAAATCCCAGGAGGAGAATAGAGGAATAGTGGAAAAGAATGGCCATCTCCCCTGAGGAGTGATTTCTTACTTTCCCTCTCATTGTCTCTATCTCTTCTGGCAAATGCAAAAGCCCTGTAGCAAAAAAACTTAAAAACAAAACATGTAGGACCTAATGGCTTAAAAATCACACCAGACACATGTGCGTACATGCCCAAAATTCCAGGAGGAGAAGGGATTGTAGTATGGCCGTCCCCCTAGGGACCTGATTTCTCATATTCCTTCTCATTGTCTCTCTCTGGTGAGCACCCTATGGCAAAAACCTTAAAAAAATTTTTTTATGTAAGGCTGATCCCATGCCTAGTGATTAAAGGAGCCAGATCTCACATAGCCAACCAAAGTTTGAATCCTGGTCCCTACCAGCTTGAAAGACACCAGACTCATGTGCATACATGCCCAAACTCCCTACAGGATGGAAAAATGGAGGAAATGGATTGTGTTCTGACTGTGCCCTTTGTGGGGGAGAGCTGGGATTTGCTCCCTTTCTCTCTCTCTCTCTCTCTCTCTCTCTCTCTCTCTCTCTCTCTCTCTCTCTTTCTCTCTGCACATCTATGGTGAGTGCACACATACTCTGGCAATTAAAAAAAAAAACTTAAGTAGTTGAGTCGGTAAATTTTATAACTTTACTTCATTTTCTGTTGGAAATCTAAGCAAATAAATGCATTCATTTTAGCTGTCTCACTGTGCAGCCATCACATAATTTAGCCCATTGAGAGTTATAGTCAGTTCTTGGTCCTTTGGTCAGACAAACCTAAATTTTTGCCTCAAGCTGCCAGATTGTGTAACCTTGGGCAGGAGGTTTTACCTCTAGGATTTTGTTTCTTCTCTGAAGTTGTGGTAACCATAATACCTAAATTTTTCAACAGGATTTTTTTTTAAGAATTGTTTTATTTAACTTTATTTATTTGTTTTAATTTGACCAGAGAGGGATAGAGTGAGAGAGAGAGGGAGAAAGTGAGAAAGCAAGCTGCCAGGTCCAGGACACAAACCACGGTCGGCCATGTGTTAAGGGAGTCCAGCGCCCTTAACCACCACGCCACCTGCTGGCCCCTCAACAAGATGTTTTTAAGACTTATAATGAGGTAACATCTATGAGAATACCAAGCACAGTCCTTAAATAGTAGCGACTCACTGAGTTTTAGTTGCTCTCCTGCTCTCCTAGACTAATGCTAGATGATGTATCAGTAATTATAATACAAACTCATTTATTGAATACTTACGAGGTAGCAGGTAACAGGTGTGAGGCATTTCACATGACTCATTGCAGTCATTCTTCACAACAGCCCTGCCATGGTGCAGTCGGTTAAATTGCTATTCGGTAGATTCTTGGGATAGAGATTCATCTCTGCCTCACTTTGCTGGGCTTTCGACAAGGAGCCCACGTGTGCGTGCTATCCGCGGAGGCCATTAAGCATGTGTGTATGGCTTGGTGTGCCTCTTGGCTTTCCCCTGCTTGCCAGGAGGAGAGCATACTGTTGTCTCAGGTCCTGGGAGGATGAGAACTCGTGGAGACTGAAACCTGTCCCAGAGCCCCTATGGGAGCTCCTCAGCTGCTTTGTAGACTTCTGAGAAAAAATAATGACGTTGGGGCCAGTGAATGCTGACGTGGTTTTGCTCCACAGCATTATTGGCAACAGCTTACTAAGATAACTAGAGCTATCATTGTCTTCAATTTACAGATCAGGAAGTAAGACACTGAGAAACTTAACTGATGCGAGTCCACACACTTGTAAGTGAGACTCTTATCCAGACAGTTGGAGGCTGAAACTCCTACTCTTTTTTTTCTTTTTTTTAAAGATTATTTTTCCATAGGATATATACACTCACTGGAGAAAGAGGGAGGAAAATGAGAAGTCACTCCCCAAGAGGATAGCCATACAACAGTCCTTTCCTCTCAATTATTCTCTTGAGATTTTGGGTAGGCATGCACACATGCCTGGCATGATTTTCAGCTTCCAAACCCAGGACTTAGGCTGTGGTCAGCCATCGGGGGGTCCAGTGCCTTAACCACTGTGCCGTCTGCTGACCTTGAAACCCCCACTCTCAATTGTTTCATTTGTCTCTAACAGTGGCAATTAAACCAAGCCAGCATGTACTTACAAAATAGTGGGGGTTTTAGGACTTTATCTTATGCTTTTTTTGGTATCAACATTTTAAACTTTGTGATTAGGTTACAATGGGTTATCCAAAACTAATTTATATTTGTTAAACACGTATCAACTAAATGTTTGGGATAGGCCAATCTTACATTGAATATGGAAGAATTTTAAGAATAGATATTTTGTATCTGATGTCATGAGATGGTTACTTTTATATAGATGATTTGATTATTTTATAGCAAAACCTTCTGGAGAAGAATATTTTTACCATTACTGACTTGAAACCACTGACTATATATTGTGTCAAAGTAAGAGCCTGCCTTGTGGGTGAAAAGTGGAACAAAAGCTGTGCTTTTAGTGATACTCTGTGCGAGAAAACAAAACCAGGTCAGAATCTTTCATTGCCTTTTTTTTTTTTTAAATACAACTAGGTTTAGTAAAAATAATTTAATACATTGAAATTGTAAAATATTTCCTCTTTACTGCAAAATTTAGAGTGTTTTCTTTGAACTATGTGAGTCAGAAGATGACCTTCAAGCTGTAAGTGTTCCAGTTTTAGAAATATTTTTAAGAATTATTTATTTTATTTTATTCTTCTTATTATTAATTTGCTAGTTATTATTAATTTGCTATAGGGAGACCAGCAGATGGCATAATGGTTATGTTGCTAGACTCCCATGTAGTCAATCACAGTTCAAATCCTGGACCAGCCGCTTAAAACTCACACTTTGCCCATATGCCCAAAACCCCAAGAGGAGAATGGAGGAGAAGGGGATTGTGGTGTGGCCATTGTCCCGGGTGGTGATTTCTCTTTCTCCAGCGAGCACATGCACCCTATAGCAAAAATCTCTCTTAAAAAAAAATTGCTACAGGCATTTGTGCTCATGGGGAGGTAGTGGGGGAGAAGTAGTTAGAAAGCAAGCCACCAGGTCCAGGACTCGAACTATTGTCATATTGTCGAACTATGTGGGAGTCGTGTCTTAACTTGATTTAATACCACACCACCTGCTGGCCCCTAGAAAATATATTTTTTAAGAATTATTTTATTTTATTTTATTCATTGTTATTATTTAATTTGACTAGAGAGAGAGAGACAGAGAGAAAGAGAAAAAAGGAAAGTGAGAAAGCAAGTCGCCAAGTCCGAGATTCAAACTTCAGTCAGCCATGTGGGAGTCTAGCACCCTAACCACCACTCCACCTGCTGGCCTCCTAGATTATTTAATTTGACTAGAGAGAGAGAGACAGAGAGAAAAGGAAAGTGACAAAGCAAGCTGCCAGGTCCAGGACTCGAACTTTGGTCGGCCATGTGGGAGTCCAGTGCCTTAACCACCATGCCACTTACCAGCCCCTCTAGAAAAAAAAAAATTTTTTTTTTTGAGAGGCTTTTGCTATAGGGCACATGTGCTCGCCAGACAGACAGAAAGAGACAGAAAGCAAGAAATCACCCCCCCCAGGGGGGATGGCCACATCACAATCCCTTCTTCTCCATTCTCCTCTCGGGATCCTGGGCACGCATGCACATGTACCCTGTGTGAGTTTTAAGCCATCAGGTCCAGGACTCGAACCTTGGTCAACTACATGGGAGTCTAGCGACATAGCCATTACACTAACTGCTGATCCCTAGAATGTTCAACTTAATTCAGTGTTTTTTGAATACTTTATATTTTACTCATTGTTCACAGAAATATTTTCCTTTCATTATTGCTCTTTGGCATTTAGTATGACTGTTGTTTTTTTTTATTATTATTTAAAGAGTTATTTAATTTTATTTATTTATTTTAATTTGACCAGAGAGAGAGAGGAAAAGTGAGAAAGCAAGCCACCAGGTCCAGGACCCGAACCATTGTTGGCCATGTGGGAGTGTCCAGCACCCCAACCACCATGCCACCTGCTGGTCCCTGACTTGGTTTTTAATAGCTTTATATAGTCTTTGATATAATTATCAAGGGAAATCAGTTTGGGAATTTTTATTATGTGGGAATGGTTTAATCTTACTTTCTTCTTACAGTTTCTGTTGTTCGCCAGTAGAGGCTTAGTTACAGAATACTTTTTAAATTTTAATAATTGTATGTTGTAGATGTGCTAGGGAGTCCTTGCACATTTGGGCCTGGTATGTTGTTCTCTGAGGATCTCTTATTTCAGTCCCAAGCCAATCTTTAAATGTAAATGGCATTGCCTACAGCTATTGTGGACTTGGTGCTACCAGGAATAAGAAAGAAAAAGAAGGAAGAAAGGAAGGAAGGAAGGAAGGAGGGAGGGAGGAAGGGAGGGAGGGAGGAAGAGAGGGAGAAAGAAAGGAAGGGAAAGAAGAAAAGAAAAGATACTGTATCTCCTTTCATATGGCTAGTCTCTCACACAGGCTGTCGGCACTGTTAACTCATTTGTGTGCCAAAAGATGTATTGATGCTGAACATCATTTATGTATTTTAGGAAATAGTTCCAAAACCTGGCTGATCGCTGGCATTTGTACCGCATTAATTTCTATCCCAGTTGTCATTTTTGCTGTGAAAGGCCTATGGAAATGTATCAAATATGTGTTCTTTCCGTCATTTAAACCTTCTGGTATTGATGAGGTATGTTACTTTTCTTTGTCAGTAGGTCAAAAACAAATGGGAAATATGTTTGATTTCATCTGAGTATGTGAATTTTCTTGATATGTAGAGAATAATGCAGACTAGGTATTTTCTTTAAAGTTTTCTGTAAACTAACTTTAGAAACAGTTATTTAATATTGGGTTGTTTGGAAAAGTCATAATGCATTTTTGCAACAGATGGTGCTAGTTCATTTTTGGGAGTACTAGTGAGTGTCACTTGCATTTATATTACTGCTATGTCATTTGACAGCTGACAGTTCTAGCTTCATTCAAAAAAAATCATATGATTGGGTTGAGTTTCAGAGATTTTACAAGTTGAAGATGCAAGACCAAACTTCATTTTTGCCATATTTTACCGTTTTACTTCTGGAAAGGGAAGAACACTTGTCAAACTTGTGAGAAGTTGTGTACAAGATTATGGTGAAAATGCTCTACAAGAACATCAGTGCCAACGATGTTCACGAAATACCATTCTGGTGGTTTTGATCTCAACAACACTTCTCGGTGGCCCACATTACATGACATGAGAGATTGCAAAAACATTGAATATCCATTATTCAAGTGTTTTTTTTTTCTTCTTTTTCTTTCTTTCTTTTTTTTTTTTTTTTGAGATGTTTATGGTATAGGGCGCATGCGCTCACCAGACAGAGAGAGACAGAAAGTGAGAAATCACCCCCCGGGGGATGGCCACATCACAGTCTCTTCTCCTCCATTCTCCTCTCGGGATCTTGGGCACGCACACACACGCGCCTGGTGTGAGTTTAAGCCACCGGGTCCAGCGTGCCCGGCGTTAGTTTAAGCCACCGGGTCCAGGACTAACCGCGGTCAACTTCCTGGGAGTTCAGTAACATAGCCATTACGCTAACTGCTGGTCCCTATTCAAGTTTTCTTGACCACCTGAAGAAGCTGGGATACATAAGCTCAGTATTTGGGTTCCTCGTGAACTCGAAATTCATTCGATGACACGTGTAAACATCTGCGATATACTCTTTAAATGTGAGGAAAATGATCCTTTTTTGAAGTGACTTATAACTGATGAGAAATGTACTGTTTTACAACACTGTGGTGCACAAACAGACTTGGCCCCGACATGATGATTCGCCTCAAACGACATCAGAAGTAGACATTTACCAGAGCAAGGTTATTGTTCTCGGTGTAGTGGGATTTTCAAGGTATCGTGTTTTTCGAGCTCCTACCAAGGAACCAAACAATCAGTCTGAATGTGTGCTGTCAGCAGTCGGACAGAGCCATCGTCCAGAAGCGCCAGAGCTTGTTGATCGTAAAGTGGTTGTGTGCCGTCATGACAACGCGAGACCACGTAGCAGTTTGATCACCTGAAATGATTGGAGCTTAGATGGAAGGTGTTGCCACACCCACTGTACTCGCCAAACCTGCTCCATCATACTTCTGCTTGTTCGGCTCTCTTCTGAACTCCTGGTGTGGTATACTTCAGATGAGACTATAAGTCAGCACCTTGTTCAGTTTTTCACTGATAAAGACAGGTTCTGCTTTGAACAAAGAATTACAAAGCTCACTGAAAGATGGCAAGAGGTTATCAAATAATACAGGCAATATATCATTGATATTTGTGCTTTATATACATGAATGACCTTTGAAAAAACCATAATACATCGTGACTTTTCCAACAACCCAGTATAATGACATAGCATGAAATAGTACAGTTTTCCCTTAATCTCATAATTTTCTGATAATTCAGCTTATGTGGCATTTGTTTTACGATTTAAAGTTATTGCTTTTCTCCACAATATGCTAAAAAGACTGCAATGTTGTATGAGTGTAGAAAGTATATTCTGTGGGTGAAATTACAGAGAATGAGTCACCTAAAAACATGCGTTTCCTTTCATTACACATTCAGTTGTTTGTCTGGCACTCGTATGGGGTTAGCTTATTTGTTAAAAGCACCAAATGGTAAAGACCTAAACAAAGAATCTGTGCCTGGGGGTGATACATTCATCTTATGTGGGGGGGAGGGGGCAGGGAGTAGGGCGACCCTTGAAAGGCAGTGTACTTAAGAGCTCAGGTTTTGGAGTTACAGGGGCCTGATGGTGAATTGTTGATCAGCTGTGGTATAGCTGCACTTTTCAGTTACGTGACCTTGAGCCTGTCCATCCAGGGAGTTGAGCAAGTACTTCTAGGCTATAAATTGGGGCCAGTAATAAGATCCCATAGCTGTAAGGAACAAAGGAGATGGAAATTGGCAGACTCAGCACTCCGAAAGTGCTTGGTAAATACTGTTTCCCTCACATCCCTGAGTTTTTAAGTGTCATTCTTATATATACTGTCCCTATCTGTTACTTAAACTTGGGAACAGCAGATGGCATAATGGTTACGTCGCTGGACTCCTATATAGCAGACTGAGGTTTGAGTCCCAGACCCTGCAGCTTAAAATCATGCTGGGCGTGTGCGTGCGTGCCCAAGATCTCAAGAGGAGAATGGAGGAGAAGGGATTGTGGTGTGACCATCCCCCCCTGGAGGGGGGATCATTTCTCGCTTTCTGTGTCTCTATCCGTCTGTCTCTCCAGCAAGCGCACATACCCTATAGCAAAAATCTCTCCTAAAAATAAGTTAGTTAATTAATTAATTAAGTAAACTTAAAATGAGCTAGTTATAACAGCTAATTATTCTTAGCTAAATAGGAAAATATTTAATATTTAATATTCCTAAATATTTAATATTTCGTGCTTCTAATATCTGTGGGTTGGATACAGAAATTTGTATTACTTTCATATAAAGCCTGCATGGTTTCAGTGCCCCCCCATTCATCCATGCACTCTCACTCCCCACACCTGCCAGATGGTGCTCTTTTCCTAGTGCTCCTTCTAGACTCACCAGAAAGGTATGAAGGTCCAAGCACCAGGTGGTTATGCCAAGTATTACGGTGCAACTGGCATGTTCTTGACTGACTTTTTAATGTACACACCAGCATAGGTAGGTTTTCTAAATGATGAACATAAGGAAATGTGTCACTAGAAAATGACTTTAAAAAAAATAATAACCCATTTCTCTTCTTTCCCATTTTCAAATTAGTGTTTCTCTGAACAGCCATTTAAGAATCTTCTACTTTCAACTTCTGAGGAACAAATCGAAAGTTGTTTTATAATTGAAAATACAGACACAGTTGCTATAGTAGAAGAAACTAAAGACATCGATGAAGATCACAAAACATACACTTCCCAAAGTAGTCAAGATTCGGGAAACTATTCTAACGAAGATGAGAATAGTGAAATTAGAACAAGTGAAGTTTTCGAACAGGAGACCGTATGACCAGAAGTGAAGTCTGTGAAATAGTTGGTTTTGTGCAAACAATTCCGGGAGCCTGAGCTTCTTGCTCTCCTCAGTGACAGTAGAGAGGACATTTGCTCGTTGGGTAGGAAAAGACATCTTCAGGTACAAAGCCTTGAAGGACACGCCACTGGACCTGCCCTTGGGGAGATGAGTTAGATGGAGAAGATGACCACCCGTCTCTCTAGTGGCAGCTAAGGGCCAGCGGGCCACCTACGCTGTGGGCTCATGTGGTGTTTGTGTTCCTTCAGCCGGTGTGGCCCCAGTGCCACTGGCTACCACTTCTCTGTTCTTCTCCATTCCCAGTGTCATCTGTTGTTATTTTTCAGGAGATATTTGGGACACTCTGTCTTTTCTTTTAACACTGAAGTAGGAATTCTGTGATCACTTGATAAAGTAGTGATTATAAAATTCCATGATCACTGAAAAGTTAGTTTACTCCAGAAAGTAGCCACAGAGACCAGAAAGATGATCCTTAAAAATGTTCAAGAGAGTTCTGTTCACTTACCTGAGAACGTCCGCTTCCACATCCCAGTTACTTTTCTTCCACGTGGCTTAGGTAATCTTTCATTATATATGAAGACCTCCTGGTTCTCAGCTTGTTAGAACAATGGCTTCTGGTTAGAATTCGTAATCACTAGTCATCAAGAAATGGGTAACTGCCTGATTAGAGAGCACAGTGTACACTGTGACTTGGGAAGCCTTGGGACCAGGACCTGCCAGTGACCTAAGATGCAGAGTAAAAAGTTGAATGACTCTGTAGAAAAGAAGCAGGAAATGTTGGTGAAAAAATAAGAATGTGTGTATGATCAGCTCTTTTTTGATTACATACTCTGTTTATTTTTATGGTTCATCTGTGTCACCTTTGGCACCAGGCCAGCTTCTCCACACCATCTGGCAGTAGTCGGGTTTCCTTCCTGCTCAGCTGGCATGTACTTAAGAAAATACAAATTATTTAACATCAGGTTAGAGAAAAACAAATGTAAACAGAAAAACTAGTTTTAAAAAATTTCATAATACAAAGGCACTATAGTTTATTTTAAAACGACTTGGTATTTGAGATTATCCATAGAACCCTTTGTTGACAGGAAGTCTAGGAAATGCAGTGGCCTCTAGTGAATTCTCACTTCAGTGTAATAGAGCAGAGCCCCACGAAGAGAAAGGAGGAAAAGGCGCAGAGAGCCTGCTGAGCAGCGGGCTCGGGACTTCGACCCCCTCAGCGGCCGTCTCTGCTGAGAAGACAGGATCACCCAGGTGAAGACAGACACTCTGCCTGCCATGGGCATGCACACGTGTGCGCGGACCACTCCACGTGTGTTCCTGGCCCTGCCACCACAGCTGCTTGTGTCATTCTGGCAGAGCATGGGGGCCTCCTGCATGGCCAGGGAGTGCCCTGAGACACGGCCCTCGCTGGAGAGCCCCCCAGTGACCTGAACACACTCACCCTCTCGCCTCTCTGTCTGGACTGTTGGTTGCAAGCACATCGTCCGCGTTGTTCTGACTATTGTAAAGGCCCTGTCACTTTGGAAGTTTGCCTCGAGGAGAGCAGGACCCTGGCCAGCCACCACTGCTGATCAGACTGTGCTAATCCGGGAGTCCTGCACGGTACATGCAGCTCTGCATCTGCCACAGGAGAAAGCTGTGTCCCCAGATCTCCTGAGAGAAACAACACCGCAGTAGGAGTGGAGCAGGGAGACTCGGGCCCATTGTGTGGGAAGACGTGTCGCACGTTGTGAGACTGGCTGAGGTTTGCAGTGACAAGCATCTGAGCAGCAGCAGCACAAAAAGTCTCCGTGTTTGCGTCAGATCATAGACATGGAAGGGCAGCTCCACCCATCATTACTCACTCCGCGTTGCCTAATCAGGAGGTGTCGTCCTAAGGGTCGGGTGTTTTTCTGAACAGTAGTTTACTTCAGAATACCATTAACTGCTTCAGAGTTACAATACTGATAGTTTTTTGAGAGGCTAGATATAATCTAAGAATGTGAAAGACGGGTGTCACTAGTCAAATTATCCCATATTATATAGTACATACATTGTCTATAACGTGTTAATATATGTAAATAGTGACACGGTCTCGTAAACACATACCTACACACCCAGTCACATGGTGTGAGCCTTATTCCACTAGTCTGGCCATAAAGTGCTTGTTAGTATAGATTCTGATTAAGAAATTCGAAATGTTTCTCAGAACTACAGACTTCAAGAGTCTGACCCAGAAATTCGCAGTCTTTAAAAAAGTTACTTTAAAAATATAATTTAGGGGCCAGTAGATGGCATGAAGGTGAAGGTAGCTGGATCCCACATGGCCCACTTTGCGGTCTTGAGTCCTGGACCCAGTGGCTTGAAAAATATGCTGGACACTTGAGTGTGCACACATGCCCAAAATCCCAAGAGGAGAGTGGAGGAGAAGGGGTTGTGGTGTGGCCATCTCCTGGGGTGTGTGTGGGGGGTGATTTCTCACTTTCTCTCTGGCGCACCCATGGGTTGTATAGGACCCAGCCATGTCTCTAGTGTTTCTGTGCAACAGATTTGTATGTTGTGTTTGTATTTCTGTCTTAACTCCTACTGATGTGAACATTTTTATATAATAAAAAAGCTTTTGATTTGTTTTGATTGCACTTGAACTCAACCCATCCCTAGCACCAGAGGTGCTGCAGCTGGTGCCTTGGGGACGTATTCATGACAGAGGGGCCGATGCTGGTACTAGATGTCCAAGGCCCAGTGTCGAGTGTCCAGAAGAAGCTGCTCCTATTAGTGCCCCCGGAACCTAGGCAGAAATAGCCTGGTCACTTGCTTTTTCTTCACACCCTCAAGTTGTGGCTGTGCAGTGACACGGCAGTAACAGCGCTCTGTGACACCACCCGCTCAAGAAGATCCTGGGTTTGCATAGAGGGGAGGGTCTCCCTCGGCATGCTCTGCACACGAGCTCTTGATGTGGGCTGGCTGAAGGCTCTGTCCTTCTCCCTCCCTCCCTCCCTCCATCCCTACCTTCCTCCCTTCTCCTGGTAGAAATGGAGCCCAGCCTGTGTTAAGTTGGCTTTGCAATGGTGTTGCATGCTCTGCTTTCTTGAACTGACCTGCTCTTGAGTATTTCATCCTTCAGTGTAAGTTCATTCCAAGGAGGCTCCTCAACCTCGGGTAAATCCATCTCTCTTGCCATCTAGCTGTTTGACTAGGACGTTGGACTTATTTTGCATTAAGAGGGAGTGAAATTACCCCTAAAGGGGGTCGCCATGCCACAGTCCCTTCTCATTCCCCTGTCAGGATTTTGGGCACTTACACAGATGCCTGGCGTGATTCCCAAGCCGCTGAGTCTGGGACTCAAACCTCCAAATCAGTCATGTGGAATATAGCACCTAAACCTCCACACCACCGCTGACCCCATGCTTGTGTTCTGTTTGGGTTTTTTTTTTAGGTTTTTGCCATAGGGCACATGCACTCACCAGAGAGAGAGAAGGTGATAAATTCCCCAGGAAGGATTGCCACACCACAATCCTTTCTCCATTCTCCTCAGGATTTTGGGCATGTATGCACATGTGCCTGGCATGAGTTTCAAGCTGCTGGGTCCAGAATTGGAACTGCAGTCCAGAACCTTAACCATCTCGCCACCTGCTGGTCCCATACTTGTGTTTTTAATACGCTTCCTCAAGTTCTTTTTCACAATGGCAGAGAAACTAATAATAATCCATTCATCCCTAATGCTAGATAAGAGAGATAGAAATGCTCTCTTGTCTAGCAGTAGTGACACTTACCAGTAGTACCCAGGTTTTTCTTTTCTTTTTTTTTTTAATCCAGTTTTTTCTTACCATCTTTTTTTCTTGGGCTTAATGTGATTGTAGAATTGCAAGGCTTAAGGGCAACATAAATATATGTGGGTATTTATGGTGGGATATTTATAGTGATGGAAAAAGAGGATCTTTTCCTTCACGAGGGGAACAAAGGCACGCAGAATGGATAATGTTTGATACACAGATGTAGGTGTTTCACTACCCTTCCTGTGATCTGTCCACACTTGGAACTCACGTTCTAACAGAGGACTTCTTGTGAACTAATTAATGATGACAAAGAGAAGATGTTAGCACAGTAGATAGTCTGTCATGGGGGTGAGAGGAAGGACTTGGGAAAAGGACAAGAAAAATTACACTACTTGGCTGCTTTAAATCAAACATGACTTCTCACAGTGACTCACCATCCCCAGCCAAAGCTTTCTGGACCCATCCCAAGAGGAAGAAGATGAGGGGAAATTGAGTAAGAAGAAAAACCTATTTTCCTAGATGTCCAGTAGAAATTCCATTTTTTCAAACGTTGTCCTTAAATGCATAACGAGTAGCACAGTGACTTTTTGTGCACTTGACTCTTTTGTCTAGTCCCTATGTACAAATTTTATACGTTCAATACTCCAGACTTTTACTTACAAAAGGAGGTGATTGTGAACTTTAAAGGTATATCATCCACTGCAGTCTTCCTAGGAGACCTCCATCACATGCATGCGGAGGCATGTTCATGCCCATCTGTCCTTGCGTGTGCGTCTGGCATGCTCCCCAGGAAGATTTTATACCTAATGCCTCCTGTCTCCTACATGGCAAGCTCTATGAAAGCAAACTTTTCTTTCTTTTTCTTTTGTTTCTCTTTTTATTCCTTCTTTCCTTCCTCTCTCCCTTTCTTTCTTTCTTCTTTCTTTTTAAACATTGTCATTGACACTTGGTTAAGTGTTTAATGGTGATTAAATGGAACATTGACGGTACTCGCATTGACTGGATTTACCACTAGAGGGCAGCAAGTTACCCTGTTTAGGCTCACAACCGACTTGCATGAAAGAAATTCTTAGATCGTGTGTCGTGATGAAACATGGAAGTTGTGTGTAGAGGAAGACTGTGAATAGCGTTTAAGGCTACTGGAAGTATAAGATAAAAATACAGGATACCCAGTTAAATTTGAATTAAGTTTGAATTTTAGGTAAACAATGTTTTTTAAGTATTTCCCAAATATTGCAGGGGATACACTCTTACTAGATTTTTGTCATATAATGCTTTGAATGTACTAACACTTTTTTAAAAAAATTATTTTATTTAACTTTATTTATTTATTTAAATTTGACCAGAGAGGGACAGAAAGTGAGAGAGCAAGCAAGCCACCAGATCCAGGACTCAAACCACACACAGTTGGCCACATGAGAGTCCAGTGCCCTTAACCACCATGCCACCTGCTGGCCCTGAATGTACTATCATTTTACAGAAAGAGATGTTTATGATTTTTTTAATTTTTGGAGAGGTTTTTGCTATAGGGCGCGTGCACTCGCCAAGACAGAGACAGAAAGTGAGAAATCACCCCCCAGAGGGGATGGCCACGCCACAATCCCTTCTCCTTTATTCTCCTCGCGGTGTCTTGGTCACACATGCACGCACATGCGCCCAGCATGAGTCTAAGCCACCGGGACTCAAACTGCAGTCGATTGCATGGGAGTCCAGCAACATAGCCATTACGCCAACTGCTGGTCCCTAAATTTGCTTTCACTCTTATAAAAGTATCTAATGAAATCTAATACCAAAGCAATTTGAAACCCACCATTATCTCCATCAAAATTACAGAAATTCTCCATTCTTGGTTCTGAAACTTTACACTATTTCTTTTTTTCTTTTTCTCATATTTTTCTTCCCACAAAAGTTTACCTTTTTAAATTTTATTTTATTCAGCTAGAGCAGGTATGCACATGAGAGAGACAGAGAGAGAGAGAGAGAAGCATCCTAGAGAGTCTCAACACGCTGTTATCCCCTTCCCCCAGCACTCCAGTTTGTCAAGATCTTGGAAACATGCACATATACTCAGTGTGTTTCAAGTCAACCAGGCAAGGGATTTGAACCCACAGTCAGCCATGTGACTTCCAGTCCTGGAATTCAGTTTGCTCGTGACTGCACCACCAAGGCTGAATCAGAAGTTTATGCTAATGCAACAGATTTATTGATAATCTGTCATATATCTTTGCAACAAAATGTATATAAATTAATATTGCTTTTTTATTTCCTGTGACTACAGTCTCTAAATGTTAAAAAAAAAAACCGTTCTAGATTAAATTATCATTGCAATTATCAATAGTATGTAATTGATCAAAACAAACTTTTCACAACATTTGATCATTTTTAAGCATAAAAAGTAAAATGGCATTGGAAAGTTTTCTCTTAATAAATGGGATAGAGGTTCTTTAATGAGTGCATGTGTCCACAGATGAATGTTCGTTCTGGCCAGATTGGAACAGGATCCAACACTTTCCCTATCTTTGTTTTTCATGTTTTGGGATGAAGCTTTGTAATGGGCCTGGAAGAACTTTTGATATGTTACTTTCACTTGAGGATTTAAATTCTTAAGTTGTAAGTCAAAAGCTACTGAGTGAACTTTTTTCTATCTAGGTGTTGAGCATCAACCTAACATCATAAACAGGGAAACTACCCAGCATTATGCATCTCCTGGTGAAGGAGTACACATCACCACCTACAGAGTAGTCTTGCCAAAAACAAAACAATTTATCCTGACCTGGCCTTAGAACCACTTACCAACTCACAGGGAATTCCAGGGGAAAGAAGCAGGCTATGTGCAGCCTGTAGATGGAATTAGGAAACGCCATACTGTGAGCAAATCTCTAGGACAAATGATCCGATTTTATTAACAAGCCAATTGCAAGGAAAAAGAGGGAGAGCAGCTATTTTCATTGAGAGTGTGAGAGTGGAAGTTCCATTTGTGAGACAATTCAAATTTTTGTTTCTATTTGTTTATGTATTTTAGGTTTCGTCATAGGGTGCATGTGCTCACTGGAGAGAGGAAGAGAGATGT